TCACATTAACTAGATTTCATTTTACACAACAGGATTCTTGCCGAGTTTTAACAATTAGATAAGTTATGTTTGTGATAGAGTAATTTGAGGTAGAATAGACACAGTGTAACCTTCCTGAGCTTGCCAGAATACAAAACTCACTGACTCCAACAGCTCTATTGAAGTATAGTTTTCTAAGCCACATATAACCAAAAGTCTGAAATGGGACGAGATGACCAAAAAAGCTTAATATCTGATTTAAAGGGGGTGGGGGTTAGGTTTTCCCTCTTCTTGGTGTGTATTAAATCATTCCAATGGCTATTTGCCCCCTAGTCATCCAAAGCAAAATGCTGAAATACTCAGAATCTCAGATGATTGTAAATCCATGTCTTCCCCAGAGGTCTCGAGAATCCTGGTGTGCTCTCATCTTCCCTCCGTGGGGTCTCCCTGGAGCTCTAGCCCGTTTGTAACCACACAGTGGGAGCGCTGTGGCAGCTGCAGCAGAGATTGGCTTCCCCTCTGGACCCAAGGCTGCCTCTCTCCCCAACAGCCTTTCCTTTATGTTGAAATCATTCTGGTTGTTGTTGCTGTTAGAGACACGCCATTTGCCATTTTTTTTTTGTCAGTGAAATATAAATATAATCCGCCTTTCTATTTCTCTAGGTTTGTGGGGATGGGTTTAAAAATGGAGCTGAATTTTAGGGATCTTTGTTTGTTCTCTTTGAATCTGGTCCTACTCAGTCAGGTAGAGTCAAGGTAAACGTACTGCAAAGTAGCAAAGCCAGAAGATGCCACATTTCCTCAGCCTCTGACACCTAGTTCCTCAGTGTTCTCTGATACCCACATCCACCGGAATTCTGCAGCAGCTTCATAAAATGCCAAGTGCCTTCCTTCATTCCTCCCCAAACCAGAGCACCAAGGTGTCTGGGTTCCAGGCCCAGAAGCTGCATTTCAGGGAGCATTTGAGAGTGTTTCAGTGAGTGAGAGCTATATTCAAGGCTATAAAACAGGACCTTAGATGTCACCCTGGTCACAGCTGCCTGGCAGACATCACTCACCTGAACAACTAACTAACCCTTAAAGACTTGTTTCCTGCAAGGAACGGTGGCCTCACTACATGACTCTTCTCTTTTGACACAGACAGTTTGCAAAGTGTTAGAGGGTGCATATTAGCCTTTGCTTCTGGGGATGGGGGGGTGGGGGCACTGTGAACGCTTTGCATAGGTGGACGATCATTTTGCTGTGGGTACAATTCTAGCTAGTTCGAGTGACGCTTTGACTGAGAAGACTGCCTGAAATGATCACTGTTGTCTCACCGGACATTTTCTGTTTTGTCAAACAGCCAATATGCCTGGAGATTATCCTGACCAGTTTGATGATGTCATGGATTTTATTCAAGCCACCATTAAAAGACTGAAGAGGTCACCAGATAAGCAAGTGGCAGCCCTGCCTCGAAGGGAGAGGAATCGGCAGGCCGCAGCTGCCAGCCCAGAGAGTTCCAGAGGGAAGGGTCGCAGAGGCCAGAGGGGCAAAAATCGGGGGTGTGTCTTAACTGCAATACACTTAAATGTCACTGACTTAGGTTTAGGCTACGAAACCAAGGAGGAACTGATCTTCCGGTACTGCAGCGGCTCCTGTGACGCGGCCGAGACAATGTATGACAAAATAATAAAAAACTTATCTCGAAGTAGAAGACTAGTGAGTGACAAAGTAGGCCAGGCCTGTTGCCGACCGGTCGCGTTCGACGACGACTTGTCGTTTTTAGACGATAACCTGGTTTACCATATTCTAAGAAAGCATTCCGCTAAACGGTGTGGCTGCATCTGACTCCGGCTCCAGAGACTGCTGTGTATTGCATTCCTGCTACAAGTGCGCAGAAAGGGACCAAGGTTCCCAGGAAATGTTTGCCCAGAACGGAAGATGAGGACCAAGGAAGCGGAGGCGGAGGCGGAGGCGGAGGAAGAAGAGGGAGAGGAGGAAGCGACGGATGAAGGCATCCATCGTGGGAGCCTGGTAGAAGAAGGCCCAGCTACAGAAAACTGGATAGGAGTGAGAACAGCCGTCTGAGCACTCCAGGATGGCAGGTGATGTCACCAGAAGCTCAGGGCTGGTGTCCCTGCTTAGCTGTTGCCAGCGTTTCTGATACAGTCCATGGTCACCGATCGCGGTCCCAGTCGCGGATGCATGCAAAGAACCAAGCCAGCCAGCATATCTCCTGTGGTTCGTTATCACGTGTCTGAAGACACCGGGGGAAATGTGATGATTCTGGTGTCACCTCTTGTCACTACGTTTTACTGATGAAAATAAGAAAGCTGTATTTTCCTGTCACTCAACGGATTCACACCCTGGAAAGGAGAGGGGAAGGGGGACGGAAGTAGAGGCACAGAGAGATCATACCCTTTGAAAACTGAGGCCTGAGGTTTACTACATCCAGCGTTGGGGTGGGGGGGGGAGGGATGCTTGGTGGTTGATTTTGAACACAGTGTATGGAGGAAGGGAGAAGTTGGGCTAGGAACCCAAAAGGTTGTCCTCCGGCTTAAAAACAAAACAGAAGGCATTTCCTTGATGTCCTCGGAAACAGGAAGCAAGTTGTGGTTTATGCAGCATTCTCCTAGGAGAGCTGGTAGGGAAGGCCCCCGGCTGCCCCCAGCCAGGGAGACCTCGGGGCCTGTCGGTTTACAGGAACTGACGTTACATACACAGCTCTGTTTATGCATGGTCACCAGTGACCAGAGAAGCTACTCGATGCAATGCATCTGTTTCAAATACAGAGATATAGAGAAGATATTTATTGAGATTTAAGTTATTGTTATTTATTACCATTCACTAATGAATTTCTCTCTTCTTCCCTTATTTATTAAAGTCTCTTTTCAAAGGTGCCAAAGTATATGTGCTCACAAAATATAAAAAAAAAAAAGTGACAAAAGGAAATACTAATTGGGAACAAGGGTCCATGCTCTTCAAAGTATTAAAAGGGTTTTCGCTAGGCAAAAATCACTTACTTTACCTTTATAAGACAGTAGTCCTTCACTCACTGCCCCAGATTTCCCCCCCTCTTTTTGTGGACGGGGTCTCCTGTGGCCTAGGCTGACCTTGAACTTACTGCCTGGTCAAGGATGAGCTTGGCTTTCTGATCCTCTGACTTCCTGTGGTGTTGGAATCTCAGACACCACCACCATAGCTCCATAGCGAGGGATGGAATTCAGGGCCTCATCCGTGCTAGGCGACTCCACCCGCCACCACACCCCAGGCCCCTGCTGCTTTTTATCTGTTAAAGGAGCATCTCAGCCCTGCCCCCCTCACTGGCAGTCCCAGTGCTGATGCCACCCGGCTCCATCTCATCCTTGCTCCGCCCACTGAGCAGAGAGGCCCGGAGCTCCACTGTCTCTTGTGTCAAGCTCTACTTCCGGTCCACATGTGTGACGTCATAACCACATGTACAGAAGGCTGAATTCCCCTTGGTAGTCCTGGACTTCCTGTCACCCAAAGGTGAAGCGAAGGACCTGCCAGGTAGCCAAGGTTTATCCCTGCCTGGTTTAACCTCTGCCTCCTCCGTTCTTGCCCGCCTGCCTACCTCCTCCCTTGGGGACACACAGGCAGGAGCACATGGGGAATCTTGGCGGGAGAAGCCATCTGCCTTGTCTCTGGCTGGGGCTCAGTTTGTCACCTGGGTTCAACATTAGGGATCCCTTCTAGTCCAATGGGTTATAGAAGAAAGACTGACAGGAAAGATTGTGGCATCTCACTGGCCACAGGACATATGAGTCCCATCTTCATGGGGTAGAGGGGAGAGGAAGTAGATGGTGGGCATGGCACCTCTAACTGTCCCTACAGTGTACCCATCTAGCAGCTGGCATACAAGTCATGCCTTGAGTCCTATGTTAGAGCTTGTTACACATTTCATAAATGGAATTTCTATGCAGAAATTAATTTATCACTTCCTTCGTGGCTGCTATCCCCCAACATAGGACCAATTGGCCTTTCTCGAATAATCATGTCAAAACTTCAAAGTAACCAAAAGGTAAAAGTTGCTGGACATCCCCCCCCCCACTCCCATGGCCCTAAAGACCCAAGTTATGTATGGTTCCACGCCCTCTGCAGGACTAGGAAATGGAGGCAAGGGCCGCTTTCTCACCCTCTCCTGCTCAAAATGGCGATGCCCTCAGCTGCCTGGCACGATTCAGCAGTAGTTCAGGATCCCCTGTTCAATCCAGAGAATCCTGGCAGATGGGGTAGCTGACGTTCCCAGGTCCAGACCCAGCTACCGGCTCTCGGGGAGTCCCCTGCTCAGCATTGTCTACACACCGCAAGCAGGTTCTAATGGGAGCAAGCTGCCCCACCAAGTCCACAGAAGGGTAAAGTTTGTGATTTTTTTTTTCTCTTTAATGTTGTCAACACCATCTGACACAGGAAGGAGCACGCTTCTTTGGAAGTTCTGATCTCCCTGATCTGTCTTGGTCGTTTGTGTTATACAACCAAAGTTCTCTACAGACTTTATTTTTGTACAATATCATTTTGTAACTTTTTACAAATAAAAGCTCATTTTTATTGCTTTCTGTGCCGTCGTGTTTAATTCCTCAAGTACCAGTGAATTCTGGCGGGGCCAGGCATGCATCAGATATTGATGGAGAGCTGTGCCCTTCACCGCCATACAGTGCTGTGGTTGGTCAATGACCATACTCAGCAAGTCCTCATAACCAATCACTACACAGGTGTGGAGAAAGTTGTTCTTCATGTATTCATTCAACAAATATTTATGGTGTGCCTACATTGTGCCAAGCACTGTTCAGAGCCCTGGAGACCCAAAAGTGGCAAGGAATAAATAGATAGATAGCTAAATAAATAAATAAGTCCTTGGCCTTGGAGAACAGAGATTGTTTGGAGGAAGACATGGTATTCGATATTGTAGTGTTGTAGTGGCCAGTATGATGGCTATTACCAAGAATGCAAGCAGTATACTGTGATTAAAAATAACAGGAGAGCCTACTTAGAGGTGACCTTGGGACTAAATATAAGAAGTCGTGTCAACTGATCAGAAGCATCTCAGCAGAAACAGCAAAAGGTCTAAGCAAGACCCTGAGGCAAGCAAGAGCCTAGACAGTCCCTGATTCTCCATGGTAATGTAGCAGAATTGCTGGAACTGTGCGGATAGCTGTAGTTTACTGTGGTTTGGTGGGAACAGACTAGAGAGGACATGTGATCATCCTGGATTGAATGAGAGGAGCAGACCACACACACACACACACACACACACACACACACACACACACACACACACTCTCTCTCTATATTTGGTATATTTGGGCATTGTGGTTTCTGGCTCACCAAGAAAAACAAAACAACCAGTGGCCAACTTTGGAAATTTCATTCAACCAAGAAGAGTGAGTGTGTTGAAAGTTGGGAAATCCTTAAAAATAGAAAAGGGAACTTTCACCGTCCCTAGTGACAGTCTTCCCAGGCTCATGCTGCCTGGCAGCTGGGTCTCTCACAGGTGTGTGTCCTCTGACAGGAGCTGCTTTCATGGGCACCAGGCTCTTCAAGTTCATGTGGCTTGCAGTCATGAATTCTGAGGAGAGTTTCCTTCTGTGTTAAGCAAGGAATCCTGGGTGAGTACCAAGTGAAGCAGGTTCAAGATCACTTTTAAAAGAATGGATCCACTCTTGCAGGGCATGCTGGCATGTGTCTTTAATCGCATCACTTTCTAAGACTCAAAACCAAAAGGAGTATCTCCTACACAGACTTCTGTTTGAGCTACAACCAACTTACCCTGAAAACAGAATCCCCGAGAAGAGGGAACCTGAGACATTGCCACCACCACGATATGGTCCACCCTTGCAAACGGCAGGGAGGGACTCAGGTCTCAGCTAGAGGCTGAGCTAGTGTCTCTGGCTTTTTTCCACTGGGTGATGACATGTCGAATCCTGAGTGTCTTGTTGAGACACGTTAGCAGGGTTGCTACTGTAATCCCATGCAATAGTTAACTCATCTTCAGCTTTAGCCACACGACATCCTGAATGAAATTAAAACCAAATGCTGCCAAGTCATCCCTGAGAATAAACAGAGTTGGGGAAATAAGGGAAAACACACATTTAGTCACACACAACTACTCATCCCCTGCCACGTTGCCAGGCCACAGCAGGTGATGGTAATGGAGATGGGACTGGAAACCAGGGGTGTGGGGGCAGCCAGTGACACTCCCCAGGAGGTAGCTGGTGACAAAAGTATGTAGAATGTGCCTTGACAGGAGCAACAGGTAAGAGGAAGGGCAGAAAGAAAATTACTACAGAATAGGGTTATCAGATAAAATATAGGCAGGCTATCCTGCTAAAGTTGAATTCAGATAAACACACATCATTTCCTAGTATAAGCGTGCCTGCTCCAGTATCTGGGATGTGTGATATGTAAAACATACTCATACTAAAAACATAGGTTATTATTTACTTAAATTCATGTTGAATTAGATATCCTGTAGTTTAGTTTGCTGATTCTGGCAGGAGAAAGTGACATTGTAACTGGACCATGGGTGTGGACAGGACATGACAAAGAGTGAGACAGAGTGTAGGCTGGGCTGGATTGGGTGACAGACATTTCAGGCAGTAGAGGTGGTGTGACCCAAAGTGACAGAAGAGTCATGGGCATTCAAGTCACAGTGTGTAGGAAGGTGGGCTCAGGCTAGACTGCCATTAGGAACAGCTGACACAAGGCCAAGGGAACACAGTCTTTTTGGAAATCCAGAAAATAGTTTGACTTATGGACATATTTTAAGGTCTATTTTACTCTTGACATAATAATAAATACATATGATCATGAATCCAACACATACTAAATTAGTATCTATGACAAGACAGGAAAATATGTTTTCTGTTTTTTTATGGAGAAGATGCTCACAAAGGTGGAAGTGCCTGGAGCCACAGAAGTCCTGATATAACCTGAGTAACCACTGGCAACATACACTCCCATCCACGAAAGACCTCATATAACCTGAGTGGGCCACTGGCAACATACACTCCCATCCTCAGTTCCCTTCCCTCAAGTTCCTCCTTCTTGCTAATTGTAAAACCAACCTCAAACTTGACAAGGCTTCTTCCCATCCTCTGAGTGGGATTGTCTTCTCAAGATATTTGCATTTACTAATGACAGGTTATTAATATCCAGGGTTCGTTAATGACTTTTTGGGTTTTTTTTTTTTTCTAGAAAAGCCAGAACAAATGTCCTAGCACACACTTAGCCACTGAGGGAGCAGAAGCAGAGAGGCAGGTGAGAGAGAAGGTGGATCAGGTATGTGGACAGCTGAGGGAAGTTGAGAGATGAGGGGCACCCCCAGGATGTCAGATCACCACGGAGCTGTCTAACGCTAGAAAGGGAGGCGATGTTTTGAATGTGCAGAATAAGTTATCTAAACTTGGGTGATTCCTAAAAGCAGTATGTGTAAGACATGTTAGCCCCATCCCTGCTCCATTCCTGACGCTCTTATACATGTCATTGTTGAGTATCTATTACCTGTGAGGGGAAGGTACAGAGGTGTGAAGACAAAGGCGTCCAGGAGCTGCCAGATTGGATGAAGAAGCAGTATGAAGACACTGGGGGCCACACAAAGGCTTGTGGAAGAATGAGGGAAGGGTGGCGCGTCATCCGGGTCAGATGGAGTAGGGAAGGGAGTCAGAAATGGCTTCTTGGCGGTGGCAGCCTAGATGACCGCTAAAAGATCTACTAGAAATGTTCCAGATGGGAGCTGGCCAGAACAACTGCAGAGGACAGCTATGAATTCTATAAACACTGTTGGCTGAGTGTGGGCATAGTATCCAACTGTGGACTTTATGGGGTGAGAGGAGATGTAAGTAGCATCCTTACAGACAGGGTTGTGAGGTGGGGCATAGGACTTTACTCTGCCAAGTTCCAGGTCATTGGCCATTCTTGGGGGAGGACCACTTTTGGTCTACCTACCTGCTGCTCCATTTCAGTCCCTCAGTCTCCCCAGCTGCGGTGGTCTGAGTAAGAATGGCCCCCACAGGCCATTCAAAATATATGAATATGTGAATGCTCCGTCCTCAAAGAATGGCACTATTTGAAAAGTATTAGGAGGTATGGTGTTGCGGAGTATTTATTTACACTGTAGAGATGGGTCTCTGCCTAAGACTCTTTCTGAATGGTTTAATAAAGAGCTAATAAATGGCCAATAACTAGGCAGGAGAGAATTGGCAGGACTTCCGGGGAGAGAGAGGACTCTGGGAGAAAGAGAGGCAGGGACGCCAGCGAGACTCAGAGCTAGTCGGACATATAGAATGGAAGAGAGGCAAAAGCCACAAGGCAGAATGTAGATTAACAGAAGCAGGTAAATTTAAGTTATAAGAGCTAGTTCGGGAAAAGCCTAAACTAAAGGCCAAGTTTTCATAATTAATTTTAAATCCCGGTGTCATTATTTTCGGGCTGGCAGTCCAAGAAAGCCCAACAAGTAAGCTTACTACAGTATGGCCTAGTTGGAGGAAATGTGTCACTGGGGGATGGGCTTTGAGGTTTCAAATGCCCACACCAGGCTAAGTCTCTCTCTCTCTCTCTCTCTCTCTCTCTCTCTCTCTCTCTCTCTCTCTCTGCCTGCAGACAAGGATGTAGCTCTCAAGTACTGTTCCAGTACCATTATGAAATGGACTAAACCTCCGAAACTGTAAGCAAGCCTTGGTCTTGGTGTCTCTTCACAGCAATAGACCAGTGACTAAGATACCAGCCCTTTCCCTGGCTTCCCCTCCCAAGGCCTTATCTTTGTGGCTTTCACTCACCCACATCGTCTCTTCAGTGAAGGGGCTAGGGCTTCCAGACCAGCATTGTCTAAACTGGACCTTTGAGCTGTAGGAGTCTCCACAGAGGCTGTGCTTCTTTGGTACTCACAGTAGGGAAATGCTGTCATGTCCCCTCTCAAGAAGAAACATCCCCACTAGAGTATTAAACAGCTCTCCAAGGAGGCCCGTGAAAGAAAGATCCATTTAATCTCATTCAGGCCCAGCATTTCACAATCTTATTTGACCAAGGAGTGTCTCTGGTTTCTAAGAAGAAAGTTATAGAAGTTTTCTGATGGTTGCAACATAGGAAATACTATTCTAGAATCAAAAGAATGCCTCTCTCGTGGAAGAACCACAGAATCAAATGGCAGATTACTTCTGGGGAGGGAGGGAGGTCTTCCAAGAAGTCAACCATAATTGAACAAAAAAGTATGAGCAAAAGTGGAATGTGCTTCTTCTGAGCGGAGCATTTCATCAGCATTGAGACCCTCTAGGGCCTTTTTCCTCTTGAGCTAGCAACATTCAAGAGCTGAGGGGTGTGTGTGTGGCTATTGTCCATTTTAAGAGACTACGAGGAAGCCAGCAACTTTTCCGATTGGTAACTAACGTGAGAAATAAACCCTGGTTATTGTAAGCCACTGAGATTTTGAGGTTGTTTTTTCCGTCAGTGTACCTTGGCTTATCCTGACAGGTGCACACATTTATGGTGATGAGTCACCATGGGACCATGAAGAGAAGCAAAACTCCCAAGCAGAAATAGAAAGGATAGCTAGTCCAAGGACCCA